ACTGTCGTTCAGCTATAAGAAACCTATCTGATGGTAGGGTTGCCCCCGCTGTCTACAGTTAAGTGCGTTGCTCACAGACTTGCATTATTCTTAGTTTAGGGATACTCAATAATTTGAGAACCTTCGCCATGAGGTTTCTTTCTACAGGGGCTGTTCCTGCAGGAAGATTGAGGCACTTCATGTTAATATGCTAGTCAGTGTCTCCCCAACCCTGTGTTCAGTCATCATCTATTTAGACTCTCTTTTGGGAAAAGTTTTGTATGCCTGAAGCATTCCCCAGGTAACCGATTGAGAGCCTCCATCCTTTCTAGGAGAGTCTTTTCAACAGACGGATAAACCAGAAAGCAAAAACAAAAACATCCAGGGCATCACTGAAGCATATGATTTAGGATTGTTCAGTGAGGTTTAGTAGAAAACATACAGGCCTCAGTAAAAGAAAACAGTTCTGAGAATTGGAGGAAAGAGGCAACTTTGGCATCGATACAGAGCAGAAATGTCCCCAGCATTTTGCCAGCCCTAGATGCAAGCACAAAACCCTCTCAGTGATGTAAACTGGAGCACCACAAGCTGAGAAATGAGCCATTGTTCTAGAGGTGGTAAATCAGCTGTTGCCTGAACACTGCGTTCTGGTTTCTTCCCCCTCCCTTTTTTCTTCCAAAAGCTGCTCTTTTCAAATGGGAGATGCAGATCCCCTCAGCTGTTGGTGGAAGGAAGTGTAGTGAGTTGCAGGGAAAAGAAAGATAGGATTGTTTCATTGAAAGAAGCACATCTAAAGGTAGTGGCACTCCAGACTGATTTGAGAGATGATGGGAGGGACGCCTGGAGCTGGGGTGGGGACTTTTGTGTGACCACATGCAGGGAGAATAAAAATCAATGATTTTTTTTAAAAAAAATCTAATTGATTTAAATCATGATTATCAAATTTGCGGCTGACACAAAATTGGGTAGAGTAGCTAATATCTCGGCAGTGGAAGACAGGAGGGCCTGGCGTGCTCTGGTCCATGGGGTCACGAAGAGTCGGACACGACTAAATGACGAAATGATGAGCTAATATCTGGGAAGACAGGAACAAAATTTAAATAGATCTTGATAGTCTCAAGGACTGGGCTGTAAACAACAGAATGAAATTTAACAGGGATAAGTGCAAAAGTTCTACACCAGTTACAAGTGCACAGTTACAAGATGGGGGATACCTGACTGAGTAATATTGTGAGTGAGAAGGATCTTGGAATTGTAGATCACAACCTGAATTTGAGCTTAACAGAGTGTGATGTGGCTGCAAAAAAAAGGCAAGTGCTATTTTAAGCTGCATTAACAGAAGTATAGTCTCCAAATCCTGCAAGATACTAGTCACTCTCTAGTCAGCACTAGTCAGGCCTCATCTAGAGTACTGTTCCATTTCTGGACACCGCACTTGAAGAGGAATGCCAACAAACTGAAGCAAGTTCAGAGCAGCAACAAGGATGATCAGGGGGCAGGAAACCAAGCTCTAGGAGGAAAGACTGAAAGAAGTGGACATGTTTAGCCCTGAGAAAAGAAGATCTGTTCTTGATCACCCCAGAGTACAAGGCATGTAATCATGGGCTCAGACTACAGCAAGTCAGATTTCCGCGGACTATCTGGAAAAACTTCCTAACTATTAGAGCAGTATGACGATGGAACCAGTGACCTCGGGAGGTGGTGAGCGCTCCAATGTTGGAGGCCTTCAAGACAACATTGGACGACCTTCTGTCAGATCTGCTTTCATTTGGATTCCTATTGAGCAAGGAGTTGGGTTCGGTGGGCTTATAGGCCCCTTCCAACTCAAGTATTCCTCCAACTGCATGATTCTGTGAAATTAATTTAATTTAGAAAATGAGGCAGTAGTTGTGTTAATCTTTTGAAGCCAAACCAACAAAGAATGTTGTGGTACTTCAAAGAATAACAGGCTTTGTCATGACCTTTTGTGGAGGGGAGTTTATCATCACGTGCTGCAGTAGGGCTTCCATCTGGCAAATATTGTCGCGGCCCACAAAAAGGCACAAGACACATTAAGGTGCTACTCGTACAAAAGAGTTTGCCTCGTTAAAAAAAAATATATCCAAGCACTTTTGTGACAAGGCTGAATTAGGACTGAAAGTTTTACAGTCAAAAGCAGGGCCGCGCAGGGTTCAGGAAAGAAGCAGCAAGAACATTAGCAGCATTTGACATTTCAAACAATTGTATGTAGTGAGACATTTATGTAGGAAATAAGTGCTGGCATCTGGGTCATGTTAGACTTTTTTAAAAAAAAAATCGAATAAACAGAGTAAGAGAGTCAGGATACAGTGTGCTTTTAACATTTCAAATAAATAATAACCCACCTGTAAATGGAAAACAAAGTGTGTGGGCAATTGTGAATGTGACTGAGGAGTGTTTTTGTCCTTTACATTTTTTCTTCTGAAAGTAGGAGCAGATTGTGTCATTCATATAGGCGGATTTTCAGACGCTGAAGGGATTATATTGAAAGCTGCTGTATTCTAACAGCAAGCTCTAGAGCAGAAATGGAGGAGAACCTTAGCTCTCTGTGTGGGTTGGGTTTCAGTTCCAGATATCCCAACAAGCATCCCCAATGGTAAAAGATTCCGGTCATCATACAGGAAAGGATTCGGGCAGTAATCTATACTGTATTTTTAAAAGGGGAACAAGATTACACCTCTTGAACCAGAGATGGAAAGAAAGGACTGCCAAAGGTATTAGATTTGTTGAGAATCTCTTTACCACAGATATGTACAGAGTAGTTTGAATTGGTTCCACATGTATGAATGGGTCACCGTGGCATGGACGTTTGCAGCTACGTAAAACAACAACAGCAACCAGCTATTTAACTGTTCTCATCTGAAATCATTATACTGAAAGAATTAATTCAGAGAGCAGAAATAGGGAATGAGAGAAAATAGCATAGTACCGCATTTTTTTATGAGTCGCCCTAGTTACTAGGGCCTAGTATATCTGGCCATTGTAAAAGGAAGCAGCAGCAGCTCTCTTTTATGAATGAAATATGTTCTTAGGAAAGTCGAGGAGAACCTCTTCTTAGCCTTCCCAGGAGAAAGAGTTCCTATTTTATCTGCCCTCCCTGTACTGTATAACCAAAAGTCTTTCCTTAGCAAATGGAGGGAGGTGCACCTTTTGAAACACAGGAGTAACCTCATTTTTTCTGCAGTAAATTAGATTATCCAGTCTTTCCTCTGACTTGATAACGGGCAACACCAAGAGTACCAATTAACACTCTGAGGAACCAACCCATGGAAGTGAGAAAAATGAAGCCGACAAGGATCTTTGCTGCTTGAAATTAGAATAACAAAAGAAATGTTTTCTTGTGGCCATAATGAGATTATAGCTAGAATTTTATTAGGTTGTGTTGACAACTCTGTACAGCAAAGGTTAATTGGGGGTGGGGGGAGAGAACACAAAGATTGTTGGTCAGTTTTCATCTTTGGGGGAGCCACACTTCCTTGGCTCCTCTGGTGGAAACCAGGCGAGACGCATAACATTTTGGCTGTCCCAAAGTTTGTGTTTCTTTCCCCCATTTCTTGCACTTGCTTCTTCAGATGAATATACACAAACTTGAAAGAAGTCCAGTTTATTACTTCTTCAAGTACTCGTGTTGACCAATATTTCACTGCTCCTGCAGAGGTATCCTGTTCAGATTGTAGCTTCCAGAAAAGACAAACATACAGTATTCTCTGTTTATCTACAGCTGTGTTACGAAATACATCTTTTCATATCAACACTGATGTAGATTTTGCCCTCTAGAGAGTTGAGATTGCCCCGTGTTGATATTCATAAAATACATAGTAACGGAGGGTGCTTGAGGGGAAATGACTAAAAAGTAATTTGCTAATCTCTAAAAACATGAATTGCAATTTTAAAAATTGTTGATTTTAATACAACATCTTAAGCCTCTTTATCTTCTCAAAACTCCAAGTCCCAGTGGTTTTCCAAGATGTCACCAGAAATATTTCCCAGCGTTTGGTTGCTAAGATCATTCTCACTGGAAACATCAAGGATTTGCATCCACAGCTTTTCTCGAAGCAAAGCATGTGAACTAAACCTTCTCTGATAGTTGGTTATCTTATCCTCAGTATCCTACATAGTCCTTCCACCCGGCTGCAGCTGGTGGAGATGTGAACAGAGTCCATTCTGTTGCGCTGCCACTCATTCGGGTTGGCAGACTGTGCGATCTACGGTTGTTTATTAGAATTCTGAGATCCAGCAGATGGAATGTGGGACACACACGCTTCACTTAAGGAATCCTGTGTCTAGATAATCATTTTGAACATTGGGAGAGAACAACTATCATGCAGTCTTTCCACATACAAATCCACCATGGGCTGTGCCAAGATACAGTATTTTTTGTTCATGCAATACAGTTTAGGTGTGATTTTACTGTCGTGGTTGTTAAATAATTGGAAATAAGAAATCCTTCTTGATGTCTTTGACTCGTAGACTTCAAAGGGTTGAGTCTAAACCTCTGCAAAAGCTGGAAATCCACAGCTCAAGCATCCCTAACAGAGGGCCAGCCGGACTCTTCTAGATGGTTAGCCCAAAGCCCCTGTAATTTTTGGTAACCGCACTGTGCCTGGAATACTTCAGGAAGATTTATAAATAATAACTATAATTAAAAACAATTAACTATACTTGTTGGATTTTCTTTTGGTCCGGAAACAGTCTTTAGATAGCTTTTCTCATTCAGAACATCCTGCAGAAGATTGACCCAGAGTTGTATAACAATTGCTTCAAGAAGATTGAGATGCTTAAGCCATTTCTGTAATTCTTAAGGAATGTTGCATTTCTCGTAGGAAGCGGAAATTAATTCCTACACGGGGTAGTGACTTTCTGAGAGGACGCCAGGTGCTGTTTCACCATGAGAAATAGGACGTACAGATTAGCATAATTTGGTGGGATTCTTGTTGTGCTCGCTGCGGAGCAGGGGGGGAAGAATAATTGTTCTCTGGCAGAGTGACATCTGCTTGTGGAACAGTTGCCACAGACAGATGGTGGTGTCTGATGACATGCAGGCAAAAACTTCCAGAGTGGGAGGATGGACGGTTTCTAAAGAGGAATTAAAAGTGGCCCTTGCCATCACCCTACCCAGGTGCTTATGGACCTTGGTCGGCCTCAAGAACCAACAATTGTCCTTCATGATCATGAAGATGGGAATCTCTTGTTCTTGTTCTGCAAAGGCATTGTAAGTCCATCCCTTTCGTAACTGCTTGATGAAAAGAGCTGAATAAAAGATGGGCAATGAACAGGATATGTGTTGGGACACCCTTTTGTGGTGCCATGAGTAGGTCTTTGGGCAGACGTCCAGGGTTCCACTCAGCTGAAAAAGCAGGAAGGGCTGCAACACGCCAGGGCTGGCTTGCGATGTTTTGGAGTGAATGAGGGAATACCAAGTGTCATCTGAAGAGGGGGGAAGCCATGACTGCATTTATATCCTTTCCTCCCTTTCCTCAAATCAGCTCAAGGCTGTACAGTATTTTTTTACTGCCACTGCAGCCCCTCTACTCCATTCTGTATTCAGTTGTGTTTGTACAACCCACGAAATGTCTTGACGCTGTTCTGAGATCATCGGCTTGTATAATTTGTTTTTGTTAATTTCTGTAAATGATATAGAGCCAGAGTTGTTCATGTAGGAGTTTGTCCAACTTGTTTCTAGACCGACGTTTCTGGTTTTTAAGATATAACAACCACAATTGTAAGCCTCCCAGTTTTACTAGGATGTTGTACTCTAGTAGAAACAGGGAGCCTGTGATCCTCCATGTTCTGTCTGGACTGCAGTTCCCATTATCCTCAACCACTGGGCATGCCGTGCCAATGGAATTTAAAGTCCTGTGGCATTTGAAGGGCCACAGATTCGCTATTCTTGCCCTGGAGAACTGGAATATAATCCAGGGTGCCTGTTGTGAATGGCAACAGTACTCTCACAGTACTGTTCTGACTCTGAATTTTACGAAAGATGGCCCTATGCAGAGGTAGCCCATAAACCTGTGAAGTGTTCCATATTTTTAAATTTAAAAAATGGAATGGCAGTGACAGGATTAGCATGGCCCCCGGGTTTTCCCCTTTTTGACCATCACACTGAAACGCAGGTCGAAGCAACCTTGACCCAGCCCTTATTTCTAATTATGCTTGATTGCAGCGCCTTCTTCAGAATCTCTCTGTGAATCCCACTGAAAGGAAGAGAATAACACCTTTTGGTATCTGTCACACATTATTAGAGGACAGATACAGCTGTGATTTATGAAAGTTTGTCATTTTCTTCACCCAGGCTGTTCCATGTCAGGTATTTCCTTTGAAAAGTTAGCTTCATGATGCTGCAGAGAGCCATAAAATGGGCAATAATGGTTCAGGGAAGATGAATGGGCACTGGGTTATAGGAGTGTCATCTTAAGTAGAGGACAGAGCACTTATGCCTTTAATCGGGTAAGAGTACAGGAAAGTAACTCAAGGAAACAGAGTTTTTCCTATGACCCTGATGCATTGATAGGCTCCCCACCCAAACAAATGTTTGACAACTTCAGGGATCAGATGAGAATGTGAGAGGATAAAGAATGTGATGGGGTGAAATGTTGGGATCTAGGACGCCATCATCGGCTACCCCACTCACTCCTCGTTCTCAATTCCTTCAAAGTTTAGCTGCAGTCTTCACAATAAGCAGAGGAAGGGGAGACTGGGTTTTCCCAGCAACACAATTTAAATTAATTACATTTATCTAAACATACAACATGAGTGATTGCAGCATGCAATAAGCTTAACCATGAAATGGTGATTCAATTACTGTACAAAGGACCATGAGTCAACTGTTAGTGTGTCAACTTTGTTAGCAGCAGAAAATCTTGACTTTTTTAATTAGTAGGGTAGCAACCTTGCCATTCAAGATAACGCAGGCCTGTCCTTATCTGACAGTAGCACCCCCCTGAGTTTATGTTGATCAGATCATCAACATATTGTTGTGAGCTATGCCTATTGCAGTGCAAAGTGTCTCGATGTAGTTAATTTTCAAAGGAATTTGGGTCCATTAGTTTGACAGTGGAGAGGAAGACTGCCAGAACTTGTTTATTGATATAGCTCAACAGAGCATCCTGCGTTTTTAAACTCTTTCTTCGGGGTGTGGAATCTCATGATGAGTGCCTGCAATCAATGTTTATTGCTCTAGGGCTGCATATAAGTAACCTGTTCTTCATATGGTCATGTTCTTGAGTAGAAAAATACATGGAGATATTTAGTGCTTTTTATGTATGAACCAGATGTGCTCTGAGTTGTACGTAGAGATGAAAGTTGAAAAAATACTGTAAAAATGTAAAAGAAAGAAGTAGCAAGTTAAAAAGGTATCCAAATTAAGTGTCTCTACATCAGTATCTCTGCCAAGTGTTTTTGGCACCTCCTGGCTACCAGAAAATAGCTCATCCCTAGTTTACAGCATAAAAGTCTGTTAGCAAGAGGGCAGCTCTTAATAAGACATAATTAGAACTCCACATTTTAATCTGCCATTAACTAATTGATCTGATTCATTACAGTGGGTAATCAATGAAGGCTTTTAGCCCTAATTAATAGCTTTTGTTACAACTGGTGAAATGTAAAGATTACTAGAATGAGGCTAGAAGAACACCTTTTAAATTTTAAAATAGGCAAGTTGCAACTTTTTATAAAAAATAGAATATTGCATGTTTTTACTGTGGGCCAGATGGGTTTTTTTGTTGCGTATTCTTCTAACATCAGTTTTCTTCTAGTGCCTGCTACACTTCAGAAAATATGCAGGCAAGTTAGAACTTTAATAGAATATTGCCTATCTACTAAGTGTGATGCACTGGTTATAGTGACCACATTCAGATCACTGTCGCTTGTTAAATCAAAATATGAACAAATTATTTCCAGTGTATGTAGCCATCAGCCACTCCCTTCATAGGAGCTGTAATTAAAGCAGAAAGCTGTAATAGAAGTTGCCGGTAACTAGTTACAGTACAAACAATCATTTACTTGCAATTCCCCTTGTAATACAGTTTGTAGTCCCATGTAGAACAGACCCACTGAATCAGTTGCTGAATGGTGTGAATCACAGTTACACAAATCCACTTATGCAGACCCATTGATTCATTGGGTCTGGTGCATTTGAGACTAGCAGTTGAATTTAGACCACTGAAGTTTAACTGTTGGATATATTTATTTTATTTATTTATTCATTCGATTTATACCCCGCCCCGCCATTAGACAGCTACTGGATTGCACAAGAATTTACATTAATTATTGGTTACCAAGGACTACACGTTGTCCAAATGCTGTCCAGCCATGAATGCATGCTGCTGTCTATGAGACTGAGATTACTGATAACATGCCTATCATTTTGGGTTCTTTGTTGTCAGGGTGCTACTGTATAATGCCAGGAGCTCAGAGTGCAAAATATGTTGTTTATTCAATCGTTCTGCTCTCCTCCTACTTTGGGATCAATGTTTATATATGATCTGACAGTTCTTAAAAAAATCTTTATGGTTATCTTCATCACCATGTTGAGGAGGTGTAAAAGCTGCATGTGAACCAAAATTACTACACTGAAGTGTTAGCTTTTGTCTTAGATTGACAAGGTTTCTGGTTGTGAGTAAAGCTGACTTATTATGCTGAAAAGTCTCACAGGCCTTTATAAACAAGGTACGTGAAGGAGCCCCAATTTTTTGTATTCAAGAGAATTGCCCCTTTTACAAAACTGCAAAGGACTATGTATTTCTTATATGTATTTGTTTGTGCAATCACATTTTTAAAACTGCCTTTTACAAAGCATCCGTCTGTTAGATAACAAAGCTCCAGCCCACGCAATGTGAAGTAGGAAATGGGATTTAAATCTAATCATGTGTCACTGTTGATTTTATGTGCTTGAACATCTCTTTAGCACTGAATTGGTCTGCCTGCTCTTTGCCAGAAATATGCAAGCAAGGCGGATTCCCACCTCCCATTGTTACAAGGATTGTTGCTAAATGATGGTCAGCATGAAAGCCCACCTTGTTTTGCCTTTTATAGCAGGGTCTGTACACCCATGTTCCGGATTCACATCCTCTGTGTGGCCCCCGTGGGATTCTTCTAGGCCAGTGGTTCTTAACGTGGGCAATAATGCCCCCCAGGGGGCGATTTCATTTTTCAGGGGGGCGGTAGAACGAAAAGGGGTGGTGTGGGGGCGAACCATCCTCTGTGTGGCCCCCGTGGGGTTCTTCTAGGCAGAATGGGTGATAGTATACTGTACATGAAATGCGCAGTAATATATTTTTTTTCTTTTTGGGGATCTGGAACCAGGGAAGTGGACAGAAAGTAGAGAGCAAAGGAGGCTAAAGGGATGTGACAGTCTTTGCTACTGGCAGCATTTGTGATTCATAGATTTTCTTCTACAGGCAGTTTTTCAGCCCAGCATGCTAGATGGATGGCCGGAGAGCCTTGATCATAGTGGAAACTGTTTCCATTCAAAAGGGATTACTTGATAAATGGGTGATAATATACTGTACATGAAATGCGCAGTAATATTTTTTTTTCTTTTGGGGGATCTGGAACCAGGGAAGTGGACAGAAAGTAGAGAGCAAAGGAGGCTAAAGGGAAGTGACAGTCTTTGCCACTGGCAGCATTTGTGATTCATAGATTTTCTTCTACAGGCAGTTTTTCAGCCCAGCATGCTAGATGGATGGCCGGAGAGCCTTGATCATAGTGGAAACTGTTTCCATTCAAAAGGGATTACTTGATACCTACAGTACATTGGTTTCAAGGTATTTTTGGATGGAAGTGAGTTGCATGTTATGTGTTCAGCAATTTGGCAGTGACCTATATTTTAAAATGCTAATGCTGGCATTTCACTTCGGGACTGGACTGTTGGATTCGCTGATACAGGAATCATTTTCTTATGTGTTTGAAAAGGTAATTCGAAACACTTTTTTCCCCCCTGATGACTCCATCCCCACTCCTTTTGGTTTATGTGTCAGAGAAGATAAGAAGCCACTTAAAAGTTCAACTAAGCAGAGTTTCCTGTGATATCTGAACTCTGGGAACGGTGCCTTGTTTTAACCACGGTTTCCATACAAACCACGATCAAACTGTAGTTCCAGATCTGGGCTTTTTCTCAAATCATGGTTTAAACAATCCACACTTTGAATATGAAGAGGGATCACAACTACTTTAAAATTGGAGGCACAGCCTTGTTATCTCATTATTGGG